TCTAACATCCCATCCATACTGGTTAGTAGCATTGCACTGATATATGCCACCATGCTCTATCTGGATCAGCTGTGGTTCCCCGATGTTATAAAGTCTCCCATCTTTCCAGCACTGAACAGTCGGTGTGGGGTTTCCCAAGGCTGAGCAGGTAAGTGTTGCCGTACTTCCCTCCTTCCAAGTCCATGTCTGGGGGCAGCTGGAATCATCCATTTGGGGCCGGTCTAGAATGGAGAAAGGAATGTGGTTAGTTTCACTGGTAATAATGGATGTAATGAAGCAACTATGCATTGCAAAACTGCAGAAGCATTGGTGATAATCTATTGCAATTTATACAATGTTCATTCTCAATGGATCCTGGAAACTATAAGGATACCACCATGATCCTTCACAGATGGAACATGGCCTCCAAAGGCAGTATACAGCAGCTAGTATCAACGTTTGGGAATCCCAAATCTATGTCAGCCTTCAAGATCTTCTTTCTGGCTGTCATGAGTAACGGGGGGAGGAAGGGGGAAAAGTATGGGAAACGAGCTGGAGGTTTTACTAACTAATATTGTATAAACTGAGGAGGGTTTCTATTTCTTGCTTAGCTTTCTCTTCTCTGTGCAGCTGCAAACCTTTATCAGAGTAGGCCAAGGTCAACTAATCATCACCACCTGAGGATGTCCACATGATGAGGTCCACAACTTTTAACTGGAAGAACCATTTGAACTATTGGGGGTGGGAACATTTCCATCCCTTGATATATGTGATGTACATGCCTATTTCCTCAGATTCAGAATTCTCTTGTTGCTACCACTTGACTTCCAGTAAAAGATATCTTTTCTCTAATGACAAGAGTCTAAGTATTTCTTTCTTGGATTTTGAACGGAGCACCAGCTGACAGTCTAATTCTTACAGATACTTTGTACAAACTGTTGTATGCTTCTACTTGCCGCAGGACCCCCTTTCCCTAGAGAAATCGACCCATCCTACCAGATCAGATAGACTGAGCATGCTCCCAGTCCCTTCCCCTAAATATTGCCATCTGGTGGACTAAGAACCATATCTTTTCTATGGCAGCCCCTGCCCTGTGGAGCACTCTGTCCGTTGTAGTTCGGCAGGCCTCAACTTTCCAAGCCTTCCGAAAAGCACGGAAGACCCACAAGTGCTGGGATAAAATTGGATGACTGCACATTGGAACTTTGATTTGGCACCAGGTTTTCTTTTTTTTAATGTTCTAGGGTGTTTAGTTTGAAACTTTTAATACGGTTTTATGTGTTGTCTGAACTTTTGATTGGGAGCCACTCAGAGTTGTTTTTGAATAAGTAAATAAATCCAAGCCCCATAGACAAAATTGCCATATCTTTAGAAATGCTGGAATCTATTTTTACCTGAGGGACAATTAAATTGTAATATTTGGAGTCATGAACATTTTGAGTCTCTTGCCATTTTCAAAATGCTAAAAACAACCATAGAACGGATTAAGTCAGGATTACAAAGCTGGGGCAAAGGTTTTTTTTTTTTTTTTAACTTGTCTATAATTTTTCCAAATTGAATACACTACATGAATTCTGTATGGTTCTCCTTGGTCATTAAATCATTGCTTTGGGCAAATGGATAAAGCAGCACAAGGGTTTTTTCTTAAATTATGGAACATTTGAGTATCACTCTTCTTATATTATATCAGAATAGAATAGAAATTATACAAATTTTGCAAATCTTTTAAGGGCTGCTTCAAACGCCTCTCTAAAACAGCACATACTCAGGATCCCATTCTGGATCAGAAGCCTATAAATAGTCCTCAACTTACAATCATTCATTCAGCTACTGAAATTAGGATGGTTTTGAATAATGGTGTGAACAAAATACTACCTGTATTCAGTTATGGGCTTTGCAAGGCCCTTATGTTCATGTGATAAAAATTTGGGTGCCTGGCAGTCCACCTGGCCTTACAACCAACCACAAGGACACAGCAACTACCCCCACCTGCCTATCTTCCTCCCCACATCCCACCCTGCTGGTGCCAGAGGCCTTGGGCCTGCTTTCTATCCCATTACACTTTGCTTCACTTGTCTCTTCTGAAAAATGCCTTTTCCAAAGCCAATGCAATATGGGTGCTTTCTATAGAGGGCCACCTTGCACCATGTGGAAAATCACACCCTTCTAAGAGATCGCAAGAATGGCACCATTTCCAGAAAGCCATGTGGCAGCCTTTGTATCACATCAGTTGGGTGTTCTTTCAAAACAGAGTTCTTCAGAAGAGATAAGTGGATCCAAGTGTGATAGGGCCCAAGGCCTGTGGGACCCGGCAGGATGGAAAACATACCCAAGACTGTGGAATCTGATGGGGCGAGAAGCTGTGCATGGGGTAGGCCATGTCTGGGGGTAGGCCATGTCTGAACTGAGGGGTATTGCAATGTGGGCCTCGGCTTGCACAGGGCCTCCTCAGTGGGCAGCCCACACTCTCTTTAATGACCACAGTGGGAAAAGCTGGGAATGAGGTCATTGAGCAAGGTGGTCACATGGATGCCTCTCTTAATGACCACAACAACCTATGCCCACAATTCAGGGCTCCATTTTGGCCATAATTTTGGACTACCTGTATTCCTGATTGGCTAATGAAAGAGTGTGCAAATATAAAGACCCCGAGCATCAAGGAAGTCAAAGTATACCACATCCCCAGCCTGAAACACATCACAGAAGCAAGTAACTCCTCTTTCACACAACCTGAATAGATTTAAATAACCAGTTAAGTTGAGAACATAAAGGGGTATATGTACCTCCAAGAGTACTGAGGGAAATCAGAAAATATATTTACTGATGTTGTTTAAAAACATAAATAGTACCACAATGGGACATAATGCTTTGGATGTCAGAGATTAATCCTCCTGATGGCATCAAACCTACTAGTCTATTTGCCACTTTGTAAGGCAGCCTTGCATTGGGTGCCTACCTAGTTCATGGGAATAACTAAACCCAATAACTAATGTACATCTTCTCTAACTCTCATTGCAACAATACACTTGCATCTCTATAAATTAGCTGAGAGGTCCATTTGCTTTAAAAACATCATTCCCGCTGAGGCCAGACTGACCCCAAAGGCTTGTTGGCCTTCCAGAAGACGTGGCTCTGCCATCTGGCTTGGGGATCTGGGAACAGGGATATGGAGCTATTAAAGTACCTGTATTGTAGGGGAAACTTGAGTGCGCTCTCCCATGTAATTTTAAATGTATTTTTATTGTTTTTAATGATTTTTCTTATTGTAGTTTTTATTACAAAAACTATATATTGAGGGTTTTTGGGTGTGTATTTGTTAAATCTATATAGCCACCCAGAGTCTCAGAAGTAAGATATGTGGCGATATAAATTTAACAAATAAACAACAATTTCCCAGTACTTCAGTAATTTAGAAGGACAAGAAGAACACTAGGTGAGTTCCTATATGAAAGGAACCATTGGGTCATACTCATATGATCCTCCTAGCCACCTTCTGGGGTGCAGAGACCTGCAATTACATAACACTATGCAATGTTACCAATTTCCAAAGGTCATCCTAGCTGTAAAATTTGTTGCCACACTATTTGAAGATTACTGAATCTCTCGGAATAAAACATGAGGTGTATTTTTGTTTTCCTACTCACAGAAGACGGTAAGTATTTGAGACACGCTTCTTTTCTTGACCTGCCCGTCAACGATCAGGGTTACTTGGCAGATGAATTCCCTCTCGTCATCCTCTTGCTGGGCAATCATTTCATGCTGCAGGAAATTTACGTTGCCAGATGCTAATATTTTGGCAGTGTCCGTGATCTGCATTGTAAAACCAGGAGAAGCACTGCCCTCCGCACCACATGTAATGTTCACTTTTTGACCAGCTTCTGAACTGCCAACTTGCAAGATGGGATTTGGTAAAGCTGTGAAGAAATAGAGCAGAGCAGTGATAATGTACTTAGATGGTTATAAAATGATGAATGAAAATAGTTAAAACAAATGCTGGCTAAAGGCTATCTCTCCCCCTCCTGTCCTAGATATGAAAAGAGTCATTAAGGACTAGGATAGAGGAACCCTAAGTTCAAGTCCACCTACAACCATGGAAGCTTAGTGAAGGACTTTCACCTTCACACTCTCTTTCAGTCCACATTCATCTCAGATTTCTTGTAAGCAAAACTGCTGCATTTTAGAAATAGAGCACTTGAAATGGCTGGATACCAGAGGTTCCAAAGAAGTGAAATGGATGAGAGTGGCTGTTTCTTTCAATTTCTGCATTCTCTATTTGGTTAGAACATATTTATTTATTTATTTATTTATTTATTTATTTATTTATTTATTTATTTATTTATTTATTTATTTGATTTGCCAATTGTTTACAAGATAATAAGTATAAGTGTATACATAGTTGTGAATACATGAAATGGGTACATATAAGAAAAATAAAAGAAGAATAAGAGAAACAATAGGACAGGGACGGTAGGCACGTTGGTGCGCTTTCCTACAGACCTCTTAGGAAAGGGGTGAGGTCAATAGTAGACAGTCTAAGGTTAAAGTTTTTGGGGTTTGGGGAAGAAACTACAGAGTCAGTTAGAGTATTCCAGGCATTGACCACTCTATTGCTGAAGTCATATTTCCTGCAATCAAGTTTGGTGCGGTTAACTTTGAGTTTGTATCTATTGTGTGCTCTTGTGTTGTTATGGTTGAAGCTGAAGTATTCATTGACAGGTAGGACATTGCAATGTATGATTTTATATACCATGCTTAAATCAGACCGAAGACGGCGTAATTCAAGGTTTTCTAGTTCTAGAATTTCAAGTCTGGTGGCATAAGGTATTCTACAACGAGTAGAGGAGTGGAGAACTCTTCTTTAAATAAATACTGCATGTCAAAATGCAAAACAGTAAAAACAAAGCAATCATAAGTTGTAATGGCTTTAGGTCTAATGGCTTTAGGTCAGATCTAAGCTCTCTCTATATTTAATCTGGATGGGAATATTTTTTGGTTCATCCTACAATAGTTGTTCTTGGATCTCAATGAAAATAGAACAGGGTTGAGTAACCTATCCCTCCAATTCCATAGGTTTCAAAGGGCTTTCTCTCAAGCTACTTAGACTGATCCAACCCATTATTGAAATTTTGTTTTCCAAAATAAAATCAATCTAACTTCTAACTTCTTCTAGGTTTGTTCAAATAGATGGAAGAAAACTCTTCTAAATCTCTCTGTGTTAGTAACGATAGATATGAGACTCACCAAACACATTCACTGTCTTTTTCACGTTTTTGGTCACTGGCCCCAGAGAGACCGTGCAAATCAACTCATGATCTCCAACTGAGGAAGAGGCTATCACAGCCTGGGCACTTGCCAAGCCTCCCATCACAGTGGTGTTGAAGGTCAGGGACTTCCCTGCAAACCGCAAATCAAACACGGCCTCATCGGCTGGGGAAGCCTCAGGCGCATCACACGTCACTTTCATCAGGGTCCCAGCTTCTAAGAACAGGCCAGTGTGGAGCAAGGGAGCCTTTGCAAAATCTGCCAAGGAAGTAAGATAAATCATGTGTCAGTTATTGCAAAAGAAATCACAGCCACAATAGTACCCTCTCCCTAGCCTCTCAGGAGGTGAGTGCTGGGGCAACTGTAGGGGACATCAGATCTATGCAAACAAAAATCAAAACAGTGGAATAGGTGGACCAACCCCTCCTGTAGAGAACTAGCATTGTTTAGCACAGGGTGCCATGTGTCTAAATCAGAACTGGAGCAATGGATGGGATCTCACCAAAAGTCCATAATGATATGCTGTGGGAAGTATTTTTCAAGAGTGGTCCTGTTGGTCTCAGATCCAGGGATGTTTGGCAGGTGATTGTCTTGTTGTAGTCGTCTTTCTGAGCTATCATGTGATGGTTCACCACAACAGGAACAGCCTTACGGTCAGTACGATCCTTATAGGTCTTTACCAGAAGTTGCTCTTCCCCTTTCAGCAAGGTCACGGTGAGGTCCCGGATGGGGGCTACACCAGAAACCCGGCATGTCAAATTATACTGCTTGCCCACTTCCATTTCTGGTACTGGATCCAGCTCAATCTTCTCTGGAGATTCTGAAATGAAATAAAATGTTCTAAATCAATTTTGTTTGATTAGCATATGCTAGAAGTATGAACAAGCAATAACACGGCTCTTCTGTTATTTATTCTATGTGATGAAATTCTCTCTACCTAAGGGTATATTTTCCTGTACATTCTAAGTCAAACTTAAATTTCTATATACTTGTAAAGGGCAGTGGGTGGCATGCCTTAGCTTTCCCAAAAGAAATATCTTGTCTCTTGTCATCTGAAAGATCTATTTCTATTTGCTTGCCCTTGTTAGGTAATTATTCCCATCTTTTGGCTTAGCTAAGTGCCTGCATTCTTGCTAGACATTAATGCAGGTAACCCTCACTAAACTATAGGTTTCCTTTGTCAATTCCCCAACACTTGATCACATATTCTCCTGACTGTCCCACCCCCTCTAACACTTTACAATGTAAGCTATGCAGCCTGTCTTATTTTCCCAAAAGGATTCGAGGGGAGGAGATGGAGAGAAATGTTGAAGTGTTAAAAATCTTGCCTAGGAAAGCCTCCCCTCCTCCAGTTGCCCTGCATAGCAACTTCATGTATTCCTTCACTGTTTTAACTTTATGTACTGCTCCCACTTTTAATGAGATGGTCAGCTAGATAGTTTTGATAAAGGAAATAAATCGATCGCAACTAGTGCAGAACGAAACTCTCCCGCATAAGTATCCCAAATTGTTCAATAAAACTTTGTTCATTGCTTTTATTCTGGTTTCTGTTGTTTATTACTCAGTTATTTGACCACTGCAGTTAACAGCGCTAAGGTTTGATCCTACCGGACTAAGTGACTCTTGTGTCTTCCTGTTGAATTTGAACTCTGGGTACTTTAGATGCCCAATATTTCTCATCTGCTTTTGCAGTCATCATGTGACTTACTGTAAACAGTAATGGTTGCTTTTGCAGATTTTGTCTCGTGATCCTTCTCAGCATAGCATAATGAGATAGTGTTCTGAAAGTCACTGATGTTGGTGAGACGGAAGACTTTCCAATTGGATCCAGTTCCAATGATTTCCCTTCTGAAGGGGGTTTCAAGGCCAATCGCATCTGCTTCAATATTGGTGCTGCAGTTTATCTCAAGGGAACCTCCAAATTGCACAACAGGATTTTCTGGCCAAATTCTCACAACGTTTTCCTCTGCGAATCCTGATATTAAAAAAATAAATAAATACACAATTTGCATAAAAATACAGTTATAAAAGAGTGGAAAGGGCTTGAAAGCAATGGGATTTAATTTTCTAGTATTAACTGTATTCATCATCCAGAATCACTTCGGCATAAATAACAGGCATTAACGAATGTGGACGAATAAAGCAGGCAATAAAGTTTTTATTTGTTTATTCAAGTCTCTCTGTTAAGGTCAATTAGGCTTTTGAGCATTATAAATGAATAGCTGTTATGGGTTTGATAAGACACAGCACTGATCCTGAAATAAAAACAAGTCTACCTGCAAGAATTCCACTTCCGTCCAAGTCAGGCCCAAGAAATTAGTGCAGCATTTCTCAACCTTGGCTACTTTAAGAGGTGTGGACTTCAACTCCCTGAATTCTGGGTATTGAAGT